TGTTTTAACCTTATGCGATAAATTCTTGTACAGTATGTAATTATTGGTTTGTAAACTTTTTTAAGTGAAGTTTTCTTCGTTTTTTAGTATTAAAATCCTATGAACCCGGGTGTTAACCTGGATACAACGGGTAATCTTTGTACCCGGGTAGACCCGTTGATCAACCTGGGTTACCCGCAAGTCACCCGGGTTGTACTTTTTGAGCCGGGTCAAAACACTAATTAAGTTGCATATATATGACGATATTGTATACAAAAATAGTAATATCCATATTGTTTGCCAAGTTTGTTCTGACGTAATCTGACATATGCAGAGAAATCGAATAAATATTGTTCGATCATGTTTTTTAGATATCTTTTCGCTTGAGCGCAAAACTACTACTCAATAACTTGGTACATACAGGCTAGTTTTATTGTACAACTATTTTTTAAATCTTACTTTAAATTACTCATACACATTCTCGTTTTGTGCTATGCTTTTCATTGTTTCTAATTAAATAGTACTTAATCAACTTTTTTTAACTGCCATTTTCTTCAGGTATGTTCTTTTGCTTTGTGTTAAAAAATTTTAAGTGCTTCTTTTTAATCAATAACTCACAAGCTACTAACTACCTGTTTACTCATTTGGCCTTTTTTTGGCACTTGAATTGGTTAAAAAATATAAAAACGTTCATTAGAACTATGTTTACTAAAATGGAAGATAAAGATAGCTTTGGACATACTGAAGAGTTTTCAAATATTGAATTAGAGTAGGTGAACCTTTTTTTTTTTTAAAATTACTTTTGGTTCAAAGGTAATTCAAATACTGTATGTTCTAATTGAACTTTAATAATAGTATTGATGATTGGATTAACATAGTGGATAAACTATCAGGGCAAATAGCTGGTTGTCAGAATGAACTCAACCATATTGAATTATAGTAAGTCAAGCCTTTTCAAATTACTTTTGGTTCATAGCTATTTCAAATATGTTCTAATTTAGTTTCAATAATAGTAATAAGAATTTGACTAATGCAACAAATGAACCAGCAGCTAAGCAAACAATTATTAGTTAAAATGAGCTTAATCTTATTGAATTATAGTAAGTCAAGCATTTTTTGAATTACTTTTGGTTTAATGTTGTTTCAAATATATTATAACCAGACTTTAATAATAGAAATAAGAATTCGACTAATATAATGAATGAACCAGCAGTTAGGCAAATAGTTGGCAGTCAGGATGAACTTAATCGTATTGAATCACAGTAAGTCAAGCATTTTTTGAATTACTTTTGGTTCAAAGTTATTTTAAATATGTTCTCATTAAATTTCAATAATAGTAATAAGAATTTAGTCAATGTAATAAATGAACTAGCAGTTGGGCAAACATTTGGAAGTTGGAATGAACTTGACTGTTTTATATCTTTCTATACGAAATTACAAAATTTTGTAAGTGTTATACATGGATCAGAATATAGTAATAAGATTTGTCGAAGTCGCCAATATGCTTGTAAGCATTAGGGTCATAATAGTACAAACAAGACTAGTATAGCTGAAAATCAACGACAGACACGAAGTAATATATTGGGTGTCGCTAGCAAGTTTATGCCAGTTGTTCTAAGACAACAGGCATACTTAAAATTAATTTAGTCTGTTTGAATCATAATGATCATCAAATAAGCGATGAAACTAATAAGTTTGCTTTGAAATACCGTATATTTTCAGAAAGCATGCTAAAAGAAATCAAATTTTGGACCGAAGTTGGAAATATTAATATGAGAACACAATATCAAATACTAGTAAAGCAATATCCAGATGTTTTTTTTTTGTCTCAAGATCTTTCAAATATTATTTAGAGTTTTAAGTGACAAAATCAAGTTGAATATGAGGCAGCTACCTTACTTAATAATCTTTTAGAACATAAATCCAAAGATAGTAGGTGGATTGTAAAGTGAAAATCGATCCTGCTAATAATTCTCTTACTTCGTTATTCTGGATATCGTCCGATCAATATAATTTATACATACGATATCGTGATATTGTCCAACATGACAACACTTATTCTACTAACAAATTCAAAATGCCATTAGGCTTTTTCTTAATTGTGGACAATAATAATAGATCTCGTTTAATAGGACAAGCCCTTATGAATGACGAAATGGCTGAAAGCTATGAATGGGTTTTTCAAATTTTAATAACAAATACTAATGTCTCACCTTTAACTTTAATAACAAACAATGATCTTGCTATTAATGCCGCAGTTGTCAATGTTTTGCCTAATACGTATCATGTCCATTGTATATATCATATAGGGCAAAATTTAATAAGAAATTTGAAAGAAAAATTAGGTGTAGATTATGATGAATTTTCTAAAGACTAGCAGCTAATGCGTAATTCACTCTTATGTCAACAATTTGATTTTTTATGGAATAAACTTTTATTAAAATTCCCTAACGCTACACTATATCTTAATCGTGCTTTCTATAATGAAAAAAAAATATTGGGCTCTTTGTTATATTTCTAAAGTTTTTACTGCTAGTATGCAGTCAACTCAACAAGTTGAAGGTCAAAACGCTATTATCAAGAACTCAGTAAATAGTAGTACACTTCCCTGACAAAAGTTACCGGCTATCGATCATTTTTAACAATGATAAGCGAGCGAAAGGATCTGTTAAAAATCCATTTGTGTATAATTGTTAGAAATTACACTGTAAATACATATATGGTTAGATAGTTTAGAACCTGTTTTTTTAAAAAATGTAAAAAAAAAATTACAATTGTACTTTAGTTTTTTACCAATGCTGCAAAAACATAAAGAATTGAACGAAATTGAGTGAAGCCAAATAGTCGGTGCTTGGAGATATGGTTCTCCAGTTCCAATGATCGTAAAGCAACTTAACTTTGCAAAAACAATGGTTCAAAATGTAATTAATCTTTATGAAGAAACTGGAGAGTTAAAACCTTCTGCACGAAGTGGAAGACTACCCAAATTAAATGATTACAATATATGCCACTTAACCCGTATTGTAAAAAATAATAAAAGAATTAGTTTAAATATTTTACAAAACGAATTTTTGCAGTCGACCTCTGTAGACGTTTCCGCACGTACCCTACAATGATACCTTCATATAAAAGGTTACTATGCCCATGTCGGCAAGAGAAAACTATACGTTAGCATGCCAAATCGGAAGATCCGTTACAACTGGGCAAAAGAACGTTTGGATTGGACTTCCGAATAGGATAGAATTATTTGGAGTGACGAGTCTTGCTTCGAAGTGTTTCAGGGTAATGGTCGTAGCTATGTTTGGCACTTACCTAATGAAAAATATGATGTAAATTGTCTTGTATCAATGTTTAAGTCGGGTAGAAGAGGGGTGATAGTATGGGGATGTTTTACTGCGGATTGTTTGGGTCTATTGATCTGAATTAATGGCTAACAAAATTCAAAGGACTATGTTGATCTTTTGGAAACTTATTTATTACCTTATTTAAATATTCTTGATTCTAATTTAGACTTTACTTTCCAAGATGACAATGCACCAATTCATACGGCTCAGATCGTACAAAAATGGTTAGAGGAAAATCAAGTCAATCATCTTCCGTGGCCTGCACAAAACCCGGACCTCAATCTAATCGAGCACCTTTGGGATAAATTAGAGTGTTGGGTCTGTTGGCGTATTCCATTACCAACTAGTGAAACTGAACTCTTTTCCTTTTTGGAAGAAAAGTAGTATAACCTAGACGAATTCGTTTACCAAAATTTGGTGAATAGCATGCCTAATCGTATTCTTGCTGTAAAAAAAGCTAGAGGAAATCCTACAAAATATTAATTATATAAATAAATATAATGAAACTTTAGCTACTTTATAAAAAAAAAAAATTTTAAAACCTTAGTAATTTTTTTTTCCATAAAATTGGTTAAAAAATTTTTATCAGTTTATCGATCATTTCTAAAAATAATCGACAGCTGGTGACTTTTGTCAGGGGAGTGTACATTCTTAATTAACCTTGAAAAACATATTAATGAGCAAATTAATCATGCATCCTCTTTAGTTCAATATAAAAATTAGATTCATTCAGTTATGGGATCTATGCTTATTCATGCTAGTTGTGAATTTTCACCTGATATTGATAAATAGATCACCACCTATTTAACACCAACTTCCTTATCTATACAATAGCAGAAAATCGCCCAAGCCGTTTGGTATATATTACAACAAGTTGATAATTTTTAGAAGTTGGGATTACAATTTAACTTAAATGAACAATCTAACTTAGCTAAACCAACTGACTCAGATGAAGTTTTTAATGCCTTTGTTGAAGATTGCATAGATGCGCCTGCTACTTTAATTAAAGAGTTAATATTGTCTATGAAAATTGATTCAATCTGTAAAGTTTGGGAAGTTACCCAACATAGATGCAATACAAAAAATTATATTTTATTGTTTAAAGATAATTCACACTTATGTACATGTCTCAACTTGATTCAGCATGGTTTAGTTTGTAAACATTTTTTCAAAGTTATGACTATGTCCAACTATGCTGCATTCCATATTATGCTAATATCAAAAAGGTGATGAAAAACAAATTGAACTTGAATCAAAAACAAGAAAACATCTCTTTATTGTTAAATTGGGTAGTATAGAAACTTCAATTAGTATCGAACAAACTTTTCCTGACTTGTCTTTTCGACTACTAGATATTCTTTTTAGTGATATTCATGATAAAGTTAATCATCGTAAAGCCTATATAACAGTTAATGGATTATTGAAGAAGGCTATTCAGATTGGATTAGATTCTGGTAATTATGCAATACAAGAACTTAAGAACTTTATGAATGGTTTTATCAATAAGTATGCACCTAAGAGTAAAGAAAAAGTAATTAAAAAAAGAAATATAAGGCAACAAAAATACAAAGACGAAAACGAAAACGAAACTATAAGTTCTGGTTCTAGTGATGAAGAAAATTCTATTATGGTTAAAAATCTATTAGTAAATTTGAAGAGAGGCGCCCCAAGAAAAAAACGAATTAAAGGATCTAATGAACTAAAAAAAAAGACATGTGTCTAGTACTAAGACCAGGAAACAAACACAATGTCAACAATGCCAGAATACTGAACATAACAGAGCTGGTTGTGAAGCATAGCATAAGCGGCAGGTATTTTATATTTATATTGAAATAGTTGTACAATTAGATTGTTTAATGGCGGGTTTGGTGAATTTCTACTGTCAAATTTTAGCTATTACAGTATTTGTTTGTTACTTATTAAAAATAGTATATATGTACATACATTAGGTTGTATTTGCTCCGTGTACAACTTAATATATTTATTTTTTGCTTCACTATCACTATATATTAGACAAATCTAAGTTAAGTTTAAGGGTTTTATAACAAATGCAATGATAGACAAAATTATTATTTACTATATAATACTCAAATAGTTTAGATGTCATTTCTTTTCCTAATGCTGAGTAGAGCTGATTTTTATTTATGTGATCTATATTAAGAGAAAGTAAATGTAGTAAAATTATATCAAGCAGAAAGTGGTGTATACGTACGTCATAATTTTCTTTTCAAATCAGTATATATATATATATATATATATATATACATACTTATTTCAGTATTTTATAATTATAAGTAATAATTTACAAGGGCGCTGTTCTCTAAATATATAATCATATAAATAGAAATGCAACTCTACTTTCTAGCTTTCTGAAAAAACAAATATGTTCTAATAGTCATTTTTTTTATAGGCTATTTGCTCAACATTATAAAATAAGGGCTATTATCTGTTATATATATATATATGTATATAGGTAGGTACTGTATAATTTTTGTTACCTTGTGTGTATTTTGCTATATCTAGTATAAAGTACTCAGATTAGAGATGATTATTTTCTGCGTTTATAAAATTTTGCAGAAAATCATGGAACAGACCCATAAAAATAATAAATTTTGGCCTGAATTTATCTGCGGCAATTGTAATTCTGACTAATATTGATTTTAAATTTTTGGCAAGAGTTTTTGAATCGTAATTTTGGCTAACTCTATATAATTCTGGCCAGATCATGGAATTTTGATTATTATAAATAAAATTGCTAAAAAGTCATAATATATATATAACGATATATGTAATTTAAACTCTATATAAAAAATTGTATTAACTATAATTGTTACACAATATAATCTTTATATAAATATAAGTCACATGATGCGGGTATATATATCTTCGAGTACATGTATATTAACCCTTTCAAATATTATTAAAAAAAAATTTATTTAAATATTTTAAATTTTAAAAAAAGTAGATTATAAGCAAATTTATAGTAATTTTCTAGACAAATTTGTCTAGAATTGCTCTACAGTTTAAGGGATAGTAAAAACTTTAATTATTATTAATAGCAATAATGATCAAGATCAAGAATCTAACAATAATGACTTGGAGTTTACAAAAAATAATAATGGTAAGGTTCAAAAATTTTTAATTATATATTTATTAATATATTTATATTTAACATATATTATTACTATATATATACTTTCAAAAAGTTACAAATTTGCGACGAACAACTCATTTTCAACAAACTCAAAATATACAAAAAAAAAACCTACTCAAAAAACAACAGTCTCAAAGAGGCAAACAATTTAAAAATAAAACTAATATTTAATTATAAAATTAATAGTATAGTATATACTAGTATTG